CCCCCCCCCGCGAACGGCGAATGTTGAACACCAATGTGGCGGCTGTGACGGCGGCGGTTGACGAAGACGGTTGAATGACACTGGAAAAACTTGAACAGACTCTTCGAATTAAAGTCAACTCAATTTGCCGCATTTTGACTGAAGAACTTGGGTGTAGCAAGAAGGCGGAAGATGGGTGCCTCGTTTGTCGTAGGTGACAAACAAATGGCCATTTCTTTGCCATCGACGCAGTGTTCCGCCTTTTCTTGTCTCCATAATTACCTGGGGGATAAAAAAAAAACTTGTCCATTCGTTACAGACAGATTCAGGAAACAGGGAAAAAAATTATGCCCGTCTTGCGCAAAGGCAACCAGACAGCTCAGGGGACTTTTAAAAAACTTAACATGGCCATGCACTCTTAACTTGTTACTCTGAAAATGGGGTAAAAAAAAATATACATTGTAATTTATTACTCTTGAATAGGAATAACCTATGAAGTAACATATAGGAAAATTGCATATGAAAGGACCAGTATAGGCATATGTGATGCGATTGGAAGCTATACTTGGACTCATGGTGCCTTGCCACCTAGAATTGAATTTTCCCAGATTTTCCAACCCAAGTTTATTCGACGTAAATACTAACTCGCAGGAAAACAGCCCGAACCAGCAGGCACAATAGGTTCTTAGAGTAACCAGTATCCCCTATCGAGTCGTTCCAAAGTTTCTTTTATCATAAATATGGGTCCAATAATTCAGTTTACGCTAATGGCAGGAAAGAGCGATTAGGAATAGGTCTAAGCAAAATGCCGGAGATTCACGTGCGAAATGACTCATACAATTTAAAGTAGGTCTCCGGTGCACATTGGCGGAGTAAAGGAACAGGTACCGCGCGATTATTGGAGCAGCCCTACTGAATATGGAAGCATGCCCTGCCAAGGCCACCGTGTGCTTATCATCAGTAAAGTTCATCACCACTCTTTTCCATGCAAGCCTATGAATGAAAAATGCATATAAAGAAACGGGATGGTTACAACGCCGCCGAAGTCGTCTTTCCTAAGAAAGAGTAAGCGCTACTGTTCCAAACAGGTGGAATCCCGCCCTTTTCCCCCTCGGGAGTCATTCTCCTTGTGGGTATATATATATATAATATGAGGACGGGATTCTGATTGATGAAGCTGTCGTGATCCCGATGAATCGGGAAATGGGCGGTGATCACATACCGACAATGTTACCATTACATTGCCTCAAGATTGGGGTAACTTCACTTTTATTAGAAGTAACATGAAGAATATCGCCCTTAGCAATGCAATTGTTACCCTGATAATTGGAGAGACGAAAGCGGTAGAGGTAACAAGGCTTCTGGGGTAAGATACTCTCACAGAGCGGGGGGCACGGCAAAAGGTGATTGGCAGGGCCTAAGGGAAGGGGTGCTCGCCCGGCGTGCGGACGAGCATCTCTCTCTCCGCCGCCATAGGGGTTGTAGGGTGCTGTCATAAGTCGCCAGGTGTCACTCATAACTATTGCCCTTTTCCCTCACCTGTAATTACTCCGCCATTCTGCACTCTAAGCTGTTACTCAGAAAATAGAATAGCAAAATCGTGTAAGTTCTTACTCTTGAATAGGAGTAACCTACAGAGTAACAGTGAAAATTTTCATATAAATTGTTACAAACTTGGAATGACATTTTAAAATATATACTGGATTGTTCATTAAAATGAATATTATGTCCCGCATCAACTTTTCCGAGAATTGTTACATTAAGAGTAACACCAATATTACTATCCAGTTCATTGTAAATTTGCCGTCGGGAATGTTGATGGAGTTCAGAAGGTTGATTTCATTTTACATGAACACACAAGTGCATAAAAAAATTAATTCCAAATTTGCAAACTTTTATATGCGATTTTCCTCTGTGTTACGCCATAGGTTACTCTTATCCAAGAGTAAGAAATTACACGATTTTGTTACCCCATTTTCAGAGTAACAAGTTAAGAATGTACTCTCCGGATCCGAATCCCTTTTCTTCATTACCGACACCCACATCTGCTAAGGGACAACAGTGGGTAGCACTCTCATTTTATTCATTTGTCACGCCTGTCCGTACATTTGATGTAAAATGAAGGACTTGACCTGCGAGAGAGCAGCTATTAGAATGAGAGTTCCCTCGTTTCGTGTCGTAGGGAGAAAAAAAGTAAAAACGAGCAGATGCAGGCAGTTTGTGTATGGGATTCTTTTGCTTGCGGGCTGAAGCTCTGACCCCGTTCTCCTCTCCTCTCCCCTCTCCGCATCCTGTTTCTTTGTTCCTCTTCCGGCAGGGCGATTTTTCGGTCGCGCATCTGAACGCCCGAGGCACTCTGAGTCTTCAAGACCTATTTCAATATGAAATTTCCGGCTCCTCCTTTTGTAGTAACAAATCGGGTAACATTAGTGACTCTTGCTTGTTACTCTTAAAGTTGCGCTAATCCTGAGGTGACAAAATCGGTGGTTTTCTTACTCCTATTCAGAGTAACTTTCAGGGTTACATTGGTAAGAGTGTAGGGATGAGAGGGGACTCAACGTGCAATACGCGGGGACCTCTATTTACATCACAAAAATGGATGCGTATTTCAAGTACACTAGACCTGACTTCCTCTGATATAAAGTACATGGTATCAAGTTTACGCAAAATCCAAACCACACCATTTATATGAAACTTAAGATGCCTCTCTCACAGTTGCAGTATCAAGAGCCCTCATTAAATGAAACCCATGTTTCTTGCACCAAACAGATGCCATTAAGTACCTGTTTTCCTGATGTAGTATATGGTTTCCCTCCCATCCCACCAATTTTTACTGTGCAATTTATGAATACTAGCTGGTGCCCGTGAAACATTCACGTCTTCTTATTTAAGGTAAATGGATTTCTGTTTTAAAAAAAAAAAAACATTTTTTCAACGGCCGTCCTTCGAATCAATATATTGCGTGCGCTCCGCCATTCCACAGTGGTCCATAATGGAAAAATCAGATTATTCACAAGGTTAGCAACTATTAGAAAAGAAGCCATTTATCATAACCTTCCGTCATAATAAATGTCTTTTTCTTACTATGAAGCGGTTATTTTATTTTAAAATAGACATTACCAGGAAACTGATTACTACAAAACTGCATTTATGTATGATGTGAAGTTTCCAACACTTTAGATAATTATTCCATCAATTGGGGAGGGAGAAACTCCTAAATGTTGTTGTTTTAGTGATACATGGACACCTGTGCCTTAAAATAATAATTTTTTTCACAGCTGTTAAAACTTCATTTTTCGACTTTTGGCCAGGTTTGATAAGTTCTGAACCACTGTGCATTCCTTCCACCCCCCGCCCCCTCCTCTAAACCAATCCCAGAATTACCCTATCTACCAAAATACAGGTTTGGTTCTATAACATTCAAATGGGACAATTTGTTCGAATTCAGAACTTACGTGCATCTGATGAAGGAGGGAAGATGCTTTCAATCCTCATAGATCTCAAATTTATATTTTTAGTCCCCGAGTTTTAACTCCATTAGACTGACGACAGATCGGGCAGGCAGCTCGGTCCGAAATCAAGTTTCCTGCTAGGTGCAAACGAATACACTATTTGAAGGATTATTTGCAAGAAAGAGCACCTCGTTCCGTCAGCGCTCGACGCGATCACGTCATTACATGACGTCACCCTCGGGCAAGCAGCAGGCAGCGAAACGCAGTGAACTATGAGAACACGACAGGCCCACATGGACGTGACTCCATGGGGAAACTGGATGGGTCAGCAGCGCCGCTTAGAAAGAGGACGAACCCAGAGACCCCGAGTTCTAAACTCAGAGGCATAAGTGGGCTGTGGGTTGGCTCGATCGGCCCGACACGACACGCGGGAGGATCCATAAAGTTCGGTCCTGCAATGGAGTTTTGGGTCCGGTAGGACCACGATTCGAATCGGACTAATCGGGTCGGTTTCGAAAAAGTTCACCCGCGCAATCCTCAGACGGACAGTTAGAAAGACGTAACACTTGAAATATTCACGCCTGATTGTGGCAAATGGAATTCAGTCGAATAGCATTCAAATGAGGCATTTCGCAAGATTTTTTGAACAGCCAAATTTGTGTCATGAAGAGATGTGAGATTCTTCCGTCATCAGAGGCCCAGAATTGACTTTGAACCCAAAAAACCCCAACCTCAGTGCCTATTAAAAAAATTATTCAGCGAGATCCCCCCGACAGACTCGTCTCGATTTTGAGCTCCGCAGGGAATGGGGATCAGTTCTATCAGGCAGACCCGACCGGCAGATTGGTTTGCAATCAAGTGTCATGTTCGGTGCAGACGAATACGCTTGAATACACTTAGAGGAGTCTCTTTCTCGAGCCGTTTACAGCTGCAGGCAGTAAGGACGCCTCGTTCCGTCAGCGCTCGATGCGATCACGTTATTAAATGACGTCACTCTCGGGCAAGGAATTACCAGTGGAACGTAGTGAACCATGAGAGCACGGAACAGGTCAGCTCCAAGGTGACTTCATGGGACGTCAGGTGGAAGCCTCAGCAGAGCCGGTAGAGCAGCTCAGAAAAAATATGAACCCAGAGACCTGTAGTTCCAAAATGTAGAGGCCTAAGCGGGATGCGGGCTGGCCCGATCGGCCCGACCAGACCCGCTGGTAGGATCCACTAAAATATCGGTTCGGCGATCGAATTTTGGGTCTAGTGGTCGGATAGGACCACGACTCGAATCGGGCCGGATTCGGAAGAGTCGATCCGTGCAGGTCTCCGGCGGACAGACAGGAGCACGTCGGCTATTGTTTCATAGATACTCTAAATGAGGAAAGCATTGAATTATGATATTTTTATTACAATTTATGACACTGGGAATTATTAAATGTTGAATTATGAAATGTTGTATGGCAGTAGTGGAGTGTACGGGAATGGGAGAGAGTAGAATGCCAAACTCCTCACTTATTACACCTTTAGCATCCTTTATGCAAGATTGTACCTCCAAAGTCCTGCTCATGCTCCCACGGTTCCATGTTGGGTGCGGAAGAAGGGAGCAGTTGGTTACCTTGGTACTCTTGAGGAAGAGTACTTGTGCACTCTTCCGAGTACATTAGAGCAAAAATGTACATTACATTTATATGATATTGAAAAATACATGCTTCTTGTGTACATTGATTGATATTATGAATACCCATTAACGTTCATAATGAAATGGGAAATGCTCCCCGCTTAAACAAGTTCTTACTTTGCAGCCACTCGTTGACATAATTCAAGATGAGATGTTCACTTGTTTACCTGGTACGTTACTCTATACTTTCAATTTATCATGGTGGTCCACTTCGATTACAGTTCCTAATGAAGCGAAACAGGGAAAAAGTATGTTATAATCAACCAATTACTACTAAGATGTTGTACTTCCATAATTTGACAGAGAATTCCACCATCTGCCATAAATGAAATTGTGATAGTACGCAAATATTCCTTGTATCAGGTTGTATATCGAAACCCGCTCCTTTTTCTCTTCAGGAAAGAGCACCCTCATTAATGGAATCGCCAATTACGCACTCGGAGTGGAGTTTGAAGATGACTTCCGCTTCAAGCTGGTCGTGGACGATGCGAAGTCTCAAGCCCAGAGTCAGACGAAGTGGATCACAGCATACGTCTTGAACAAGCAGCCAGGATTTATTTTGCCTTATACATTAACCCTCATCGATACGCCTGGGTTTGGGGATACTGACGGCATCCAAGCGGACGAAGAGCTGAGAGAACAGATTAGGAAATTCTTCTTGAATGGTGGGAACATCGGCGTTGATCAACTAGATGGGATCTGCTTTGTTGTTCAGGCTTCCATGCCCCGGCTGACACACACACAAAAGTATATATTCGACTCGATCTTGTCGGTGTTCGGTAAGGATGTCCAAGAAAGTATATACGTGTTGACCACATTTGCGGATAGCAAAGAACCGCCCGTCTTGGAATCCATCAAGAAGGCAAACATTCCTCATGATGGACACTTTAAGATTAATAATTCTGCTTTCTTTGCTCCTCCAAGTGAAGACCCAGACAAGTTCGACCTGACGTGCTGGGATATGGGCATACACAATCTGAAAAGATTCTTCAAGAAGTTTCGTAAGTCAAAGCCTGTGAGCCTAACTCTGACCAAGGAAGTTTTGGAGGAGCGGCGACGCCTGCAAACAGTACTCCAGGGAATCCAACCGCAAATTACCGCAGGTAAGAAAGACAATAAAAGTGATACCGCAATGAAGTGTGGCACAATGAATCTTCGACCTCAAACCAAATAATAAAATGTATAATATGTTAGTTGAAATACTGTATATACTATCATACGCTGCAAAGTAAAAACGTACAAGGAGAGGTACACATGTGAGACGTATATATTTGTGTTCTTCGGATCCGCATGCGTACTTCCGTGCGTACCTTTGTGCGGATGTAGTCCAGACAAACACATGGGTATGTTGCAGACGCAATGTCCCGGTTCCCAATACAATACTCAAAATAGGTATAAAATAGCGTTCATGTTTCCCCGAACATTCGAACTCAAGTCAAGACGCACCGAACATTAGCAGAAGAGATTCCTTTCCTTTCCCTGCATTCATCACATCATTATACTTGCAAATTAGTATTTGGTAAAAGTATAATCATAATGTTTGAATGGCAAAGAGTGACACTGGACAATGTTAAATGCTGGGATTTTGCACGAAGACAGCGAAATGTAAGCTGACCGGATTGGATTTTTTACTCTCAGACGGGTGAGCAGCGAACTTAAAAAAAGTATAGGTTGTTGTAAAAATTTGTGTGGACTGGCTAACTACTGTCTCCATGATAACTGGAGAAGTCTACTGGAGGTCTGGCGTACGCGCTGTGGCTATTTTTTAATGCTTGTCATTGTAAGTCTTTGTGACATATCTGGGATTTCCTGTAAGTTGCAGTGTTCAATAAGTCATGAGATATTAAATATAGATATGACAAAGTACTGCACCGTTTACACCGACGAATAGCAGTATGGCAAAAATGTAAGGAAGATATTTCGGGGGGGGTTAACCCCATGAATTCCCCCCACCCCCCTAAATTTATTTATGAGACAACCGCTCGTCCTGTTGGGTCGTGGACACCTTGCCAAGCTGTCACCACCCTATATTTGAAAATTCGCCGACTGTCAGAGAGAAGGTGCCCAATGTCAATGTCATTAAAGGTGAAAACTAAAGTTCATAAGGATATGCCCGAAATGACTTCCTAAAAAAAGATACTTTAAAAAAGGCCGTACCTTCTGAATTGAGATAAGGGTACACTTGTGTACTTCATTTTGCCTCGGTACCTTTTCTACGAACGTATTTCATGACACAAAAATATGTACCTCACTGTACATATCTGCTTAGCTGTGTAGGTGCGTCGGCAAATACAACAATAGCACACGTCAAGAAGATAGAATTCAATGAGTCAACTCTCTTATTTACTATATAAAAGCGGTTCCCAGACATTTTAAAACCGCGTTCCACTTGCCGAAGCCCAATTTTGCGACCCACCGCAATGCAGAATAAGGCATTTGAAAATTAATTATGGCATGAAAAAAACCGTTGACCTTTTCTTCTTTCCTCATTCTATTCTGACAAGTGAGAATGACTTGTGCGTTTAGTGAGAATGATATGTGATTCTGATCGTTGTAGTAACGGCGATCACATGAATAAGTATTATCCTATTATGACCTAACATATACTGACTTGATATTGCAGGAATATCTTTCCAAGCCTTCATGAACTTTGTATTGTCTTCAATTCTCATTCATATCCAATTCCAAAAAAACAGCTAAAAAGTATATGAATGTGAATTGTGGCACATCCCCTGGTAAAATGAGATCGAAGCGTTCTTAATTATGTCTCAGTGGGATGTATATGCATGAACATCTCCATAGGTTTGGGTAGATTGGAGCAACTGAGGCAAGAACATGCGGCTCTGAGACGGTACGAAGCAGAAATAGAAGCCAACAAGAATTTTATTATCAAGGTGAACGTCCAGAAGCAAAGGAAAGTAGATTTGGCAACTGGTACGTACGTGACCAACTGCTTGAGATGCAACTTCACTTGCCACTATCCCTGCATGATCCCAGAAGACCAACTGAAGGAAAGATGCTCTGCAATGGCCATGAATATGGAGACAGGCGAAGTGATGCATTGTGCGGTCTGCCCCAACAAGTGTTCGCCAGATGAACATGTTAATAACCCATATCGATTCGAGTTGTATGAGGAAGAAGAGACGAGAACCGCTGAAGAGTTGAAAAAGAAATATGAGGCCGCAGCCGGGAAGAGGTTGGATGCGGAAGGGATAGTGAAGGAAATCATCAAGGATTTCAATAAGGAGAGGAGCAAAATTCTTGAACTGATCAAAGAAGCACATCAATGTTTACAGAAACTCGACAAAATAGCCTTGAAGCCAGATCCTTTGGGCGTAACCGATTACCTGGATCTCCTAATACGGACCGAGAAAAGAGAAGCCCGACCTGGATATGCCCAGAGGATTAAATACCTGGAAGATACACGAGCCAAGGCAGAATTGTCAGAGAAGCTCAGGGAAGACTTCGATCCATTCAGGGAATACATGAAGGAGTTCGAGGAAGAGGGCTTCAACATCTGCCTCTTCGATCCAGACTCTGATGTCGAGGATGCCGAAAATGAATCATACAGTGGAAATAGGTTTGTTAGTGATAGGAGTTCCTGAGGAGTTTCTTCTTTCTTCAAGATGACAAAGATGACTTTAATCGAAACCAAATGCATGTATATTATGGTTACTGTGATCCCTAGGTAAAGTAACAATTATTCTCACTAGCACAGTCCTGTGCCTTTGCACTTTCCTTCAAGAGATCGAATGATAGTGAGAAGAAGCGTAAACTGGAAGAATGAGATGAAAGAGACTTCGAGCACTTGAATCAGTGCACTTCAAAAAAGCCCCTTTATAGGCTATAATTACCGCTCCTAATGCATAAATCATGGAACTCATGAAGTATAATTATGACGTCCCTTTTCTTCGTCTAGTACTTTTGAGCGTCTCAAAAAGATTCCCATTTGTATGAACGAAAGTGCCAGCCTACATTCGAAGGGCATTGGTCATGAACTGGAAATTGCAAATCCCCATTAGAAAACTTATGTCATGTGTTCATGATGCATGTTGCTGTCCCTTTTCCTTTCAGTGAATCAATATAATGAAAAATGACCAATAAATTTAACTAAATATCCAAACCTGCAGTCCTTCATCTTATTTCGTCCATCTTATGATGTTAATCGTTGTTAACCGAGGACATTCCATGCAGAGATGTACAAAAATCCTACATGATCGGTGCAATTGCCATATGCGATATAACCTAGATTTCAACATAAATAACTTGCATAATATAGATCCTTCAAATACTCTTATGTATTGCAAAAAAATTGCAAGGACAGCATGACGGCGGAAACGATTCCACGTTCCTCCTGTGAAAGGCGCGCGTATGATATTAGCTCTCATGCAGTTTCCCATCTAATATATATAGACGATCGTGACTGACTGACTGACTGACTGACGCTAATTCTAACCATGTTCTAGAGAAGTTAAAAATCTAAAACTTGTTACACATGTACCTACTGGGATGCAAAGTTCAGAAAAAATCAGACTTTGGAGGTTAATGCCCTGGGGGTACACATATTGGGCGAGAAGTTCTTAAAAAATATACATTGTCACGGATTAGGATGGCATCGAGTGGCTTGACGGGTTGTACTGGGTTCGGTGGTGTAGTGCTAGTACATCTGACCTGCAATCAGTAGGCCCGGGTTCAATTCCAGGCCATTTCTTGGCTTCCTTTCGACTTCTCATGCTTTCCAACTCCTGTTACTCATTCCCCCTCCATAACACAGTTTTTGTTGGAGTTAAATGGAGAGACATGGAAAGCTGAAACTTGCCCTGGATGTGCCTATCGAGACGATGAGTTCCGGAAANACTCCGCTCGTCGCTTTGCTGCAGGGGGTTCGCTCAGAAAGCTTATTCAAACCAAAATGATATTTCGCCCCCCATTCAACAAAGGTGTCGAAAAACGTCCGAAGTCGCTTTTTCAGACGTAACATGTAAAATTTTCTCTGATGGATCGATAGATATGATTGCCTGAAGTGCGTGGATGCATTCATCTTTACGATCTATGCTCTGGTTTTCTTCGAAAATTCATTCAAGCCGAGCGATTCCAGCATAATGCTCACCGCCCGCCTCCACCGGAACTAGGCTCTCATCGGCGCGACCAATCAGGTATCTCTGTTTAAAAATCACCAAATATTTCATGACACGTCGACAGCAAAGGTTCTCCCGAGTGTATCTATGCCCGAAACAGGAACTTTTCTCTCCCTGCACACTCGCGATGCCTCTCGTTTCCGACTGCCCCCCACCACTCTACTCCCTCCCGTACGCTCGCGTGTCTCCCTGATCCGCCTTCAACATGGAAATCTAGAAATGTTCTCTGATGGTTCAATGGAGAGGCTTCACTGGAATGCATGGACGCATTCAGGTTCGGTATCTGTGCAAAGGTTCTCTCGGAAAGTTCATTCAAGCAGAGTGTTTCCGGTAGGATATCCACCAACCCGCCTCCAACTGACCGGGCTTTCATCGGCGCTGCCGATCGGGTATCTCTGAGCCAAAATCACCGCATATTTTTTCACTCGTCGACAGCAAAGGGTCTCTAGAGTGTATCTATGCCCGAAGCACCAACTTTTCTCTCCTCGCTCACTCTTGATGCCTCTCGTTTTCGACAGGCCCCCACCCCTCTCCTCCCTCCCGTACGCTAGCCTGCGTATGCCTCCCTGATCCGCCTTCAACGTGGAAATCTTGAATAGTACTCTGATGGATCGGTGGAGAGGGTTCTCTGGAATGTATGGACACATTCATGTTTGCAATGTAAGGTCAGGTTCTCTCGGAAAGTTCATTCAAGCCGAGCGTCTTCGGTAGGATATCCGCCGGACGCCTCTACCTGACTGGGCTTTCATCGGCGCACCCAATTGGGTGTCTCTGTTGCAAAATAATTGAATATTTTTCGACACGTTGACAATGAGTCTGACAAATACATTCATGCCCGCAACACCAATGTTTCTGTTTTTATTCGCTTGGGATGGCCCGAGTCTTGCAATTATGTCGAATTATAGGGAATTTTATGCTCAAGATCTGTGCACTGGGGGTACACATATTGGGCGAGAAGTTCTTAAAAAATATACATTGTCACGGATTAGGATGGCATCGAGTGGCTTGACGGGTTGTACTGGGTTCGGTGGTGTAGTGCTAGTACATCTGACCTGCAATCAGTAGGCCCGGGTTCAATTCCAGGCCATTTCTTGGCTTCCTTTCGACTTCTCATGCTTTCCAACTCCTGTTACTCATTCCCCCTCCATAACACAGTTTTTGTTGGAGTTAAATGGAGAGACATGGAAAGCTGAAACTTGCCCTGGATGTGCCTATCGAGACGATGAGTTCCGGAAAAACGTAAAATTTAAGATCCATTGCCTGTGGGGGCATATTTTTAGGGGCCGACGTATTCGTATAACTTTATTTTTTTGCCCTTGCGTATTGAGCTGGTGTGGAAAGATGAAACTTGGTACATAACTACCGATTGGGAAGCTGTGTGCAGAAAAATTCAGACTTTGGAAGTAAATGCCCCTGGGGGCGCAAATTTCAAAGGGAGATGATTTCAAGCATTTTTTTTGCATGAGTTAAACTGATAAACATGGAAAGCTGAGACTTTGCATGAATGTGACTACTGAGACAAGGAGTTAAAGGAAAATGCTAAGTCTCGATGCATCTCCTGGGGAATTTTTTCGAGAGGCGATGCTTAAAAAAAATTTGTTGTGGCGAATTGGACAGAAATGGAAAGGTGAAACTTGGCACATGTATAAGTGACATGATATTATTATTCTTGAGCTGTGGGAGAATTCAGCTCTCATGGTGCATCCCCTCCTGCCATAGCTTTTGGGTGCGTCCAAACTTGGTGGTTTTTGCAACCATATATATCTCAAGCTAAAAGGGCAAACGTGTAAGGTTGAAACTTTCTGGGCATGTACTTCTCAAGAATCTCAAGAAGAATGGTCAAGAATCAACTCGAAAAATAAGTTATTATTAATATACTCTCTCTTCGGACTTTACGATGGACCTAAATGCAAATGGCCTGTGGCTGTGAAGAGTTCTCCTTTCTCTTCTTGCTAAAGCATGGAATAGCTCCAAAATTCACCCTCTTATACAGAGGATATGAAGTCTTTGACGCCTTTCCCCTCCCCTCGTGTTTCATTGAGAATTTGAAGACATATTTTCGAGCGGAAGGCACTCCCAATGGAATTTCCCGTGAAGCTAGTACAAAGTATGAAAGCTCGTGTTCCTTAAGTCATTGAAAGTCAGGGTGATTTTATATTACAACAGTGATCAGGGTGTCCTGTATACATGAATACAATAAAATAATCATAATTTTTTCGGCTCGTCTGATGAAGTTAAGGGGGGGGGGTAGGAGATTTGAACGGGTAATAGGTAAGACTATTTCCGTGAGAAAGAGTGATATCGAATTTGTATTCGTGAAAATTATATTTTATATCAATAACGTATTAGCATTAAATGATTTTTTTAGTCGACCAATTGGGAAGGAATAAATCAGGATAGGAGCGAATCCATGATAAGCATGAAGAGCAAGTGCCACAGAGGGAAAGAATTCAATGGTAGGAGATGTTACAATGGTAGACTAATTTACTGCAACTGGAAAACGAGGATGACGTGCGAAAGAGACAGAGCCGCAGGCTATGGTGAGGCCAGGGTAAGAAGGGAGAAGACAATGAAGCTTCAAATGGGATGGTGACATCTTCGCCCTCGGGGTCTGCCTTTCATCCTACCTTCTCAGCGTGGAATTCTTTGCATTTCCTTCCATTTTGTACAGCATCGTCTGACCTGTCTTGCAGGATGAATTTGGAATTTTCAATTCACCAATTAATTTATGTGGTACACCTCTCAAGGGATGAAGAAAAGTGGAGAGAGGGAAAAGAAAAAGTACCTACGAAATTAATTAGTGGCTTGTACAAGAAAGAGAAAAACCTGATAGGTCGCTTTATCTTTGTGGTTTAGGTGACACAATTAAGATTTACTCTCGGACTCACCAGAAATTTTAGAAACCGATGATAATTGGTAGTAATCAGTCACCTGGACTGTCAACGTCAATGAAAAGGAGAAAACAGCTAGGTTGTAATGCCTAGATCCGATCCAATATGTAGCATCAAAATACAATCAATTAGATTTATTGAGCCTGAATTCCGAATTGATTTTGAAACTCTGCCACTGTTCTTAGGCAACCGATATCTACCAGGCTATGGCCCTTTTCAAGAGGAATACATGGATTGGAAGGAGAAGTAAGGAGGGGATGGGCCTTCCTTGACCTCATGCTCCACCCCCTGGCCCTCGCCCTCTGCCCGAGAACTGGCGAGTGTGAGGGGCGAGGAGACACTCTCCGACATCTATGAAACGCTTTGGCCCTAGCTCTTTTTTCAGGGAAGGTACTGCGCCGCCTTAAACCGTGGGTCTTGCAGAGCGAAGGACGTCAAAAGGAATGACGTCAGGTGAAAAACAAAGGAACTCCAGCGTATTTTCCCTCGCCGGATCCCTCCACGTGATTGACTCTCTCAAAATAAGCTTTTTCCTGCTCTATGCCCATGAAGAAATGAAATGCAGAAATGGTATCGAATGGCGTGTCCTGTCAAGATTCATATCCTTAATGAAAACCTTTCTCGTCCTCAGGAACTGCCATCATCGTAGCCTTAGCAGCATACATTCAGCTTTTGGATTAATACGGATTTTCATGGCTCTAAATCCCATGTGATCCGTGTTATCTGGTGATGATGTCATGAGTTAGATGTTCAATTTGACGCCACAATGAGTTTCATACCATTCTGCATTAGGAATTCCCAGAACGTATGATTCTAGAAGATTACACAGCAATATCGCACGGATATGAGAGTGAGCCCCGTCAGCTGAATCCATTGAAAATCCCGATGCGGATCATCCCGAAAAACCGGGTGACTCGAGAGAGAGTTCCCAAATCCACGAAATTCCGGAGGAAACGGAATGATATCTCGGTGGATTTTCGTCCGGTGCGAGGGCATCGAAAGAGAGGATTAATCGAGGATTAATCCCGGATTATTTCTCCCCACCCGATGATGCAAGTCTTTCAAAAGTTGAACAATAGCAGCTCGACGCCGGCAGATGCGCAAATTGCCACTGTGCATGAGTTCACAGGCTTTTTAACATCCGAATCAACTTTCCATTTCGGAAAATCGCGAAACCGCGAAACTTGCTTCAAAACTTTTCGCATAGGATTTTGGCTTTATTCTTTTTTTTTAATTTTCTGCAGAATTCATTTCAGGACAGGGAAATGACAAAGACAAACTCGCATCAGCCAAGAAGATGATCGGTTCATATATCCAACTCTGAAATTCGCAAAGGCGACTCCAGGGCACCGCCGCGAGGGCGGGCAAGATGCTGCGGCAGAGACTCGAGTTGAGGAGCGAGAGAGGAAATCCCGCGCCATCACGTCGCTCGCGCGGTGCGGCGTGTGCGGCGTGTGCGGGGGGGAGAGGAGGGAAAGGTCAGTCTGGGCAAACCGGACTGCATGAGTTCACACCCACACTCGCACATGCTCACAAGTTTAAGGTAGTAGGGGAGGAAAAATCGACCGTCTGGGATTCGAAATCTGGAAAGTAATTTTGTAGGGAAGTGCAAAGAGGTATGGCACGGTCACCTCCGACCCATAGTTTAGCCAAAAGTCACGGTCAAAGTTGCCGCTAGATGGCCATTTGATGAGTCGAATTCAAACGACTACAACTCGGAAACCGTTGGCCAAAGGAAAACTCAAATAACGTATTTAGAACGCTAAGAAAATCTACTTTCAAATGAGGGGTTGAGATTTATGCTGACTGAAAAGGTCAAAGGTCAAACGGCCATATAACTGGTAATAGTCGAATTTTTGAAAACAGTATTTCGACCGCCATTCGGGCCACAGATCCACCACAAACAAAAGCATGCATGCGATTTTAGAGGACCTATCGGTCGAGCTGTACACCAAATCTCATGGGCCTTGTCCAGAGCATTTTGGAGAAAAGCACCGAAATGTGCTCGAAATTGGGGCGAAACACGCTACTCCGCGTGGTTTTTTTTTCTAGACTTCAAGCTAAAAATCTGGAAATGTTCTCCAATAGATGGATAGGGAAGAG